GTAGGTTGCCAGGCAGGAAGTAGGTGGGACAAGGAGAGAGGAGAATTCTGGGAAGCTGAAGGCTGAGGGGGGAGACACTGCAGCCACCGCCAGGACAAGCAGCATGTAAAGACTCTGGTAAGCCACCAGCCACGTGGCAAGGTATAGATTTATAAAAATGGGTTAATTTAAGATAAAAGAACAGTTAGCAAGAAGACTGCCATGTGTATACAGTTTATAAGTGATATAAGCGTATGAGTGATTATTTTATACGTGGATTGTGGGACTGCGGGGCTTGGGGAACCTGGAGAAAAGCCCTCCAGCAACAAGTTTCTCTGCATATAAGTTATTGTTGTGTAGGTTGGTGTTTTTGTGAGACTCCTATAAGTGTGAGTGGAGGGGTGTCTCTGACTCTTTTGCCTGATCTCAGAACCCTTTCCCTCCTACTAGGTTGTTTCATCCAGCATTGGCATGTGGGTTTGTGTCTAGTTTTATTTTAACTTGTTATGTACATTTTTCTGGGAGGCCTGCTCTTTTCTGAAGGGAAATGAAGGAGTGGATCTGGTGGAGAGGGGAACAGTGGAGAGGACTGGGAGGAGTGAAGGGAGGAAAATAGTAGTTGGAATATATTGTATGAGAGAAAAATACATTTTTTTAAAAAATTTAAAAATTTTAAAAAAGAAAGCAATGTGGACACATTGTGGACAGTGGGGGAAGATTGGACCATGGCAAAACTAAATCTGAGCAAGAATTACCAAATCTTATAGCTCTTTTTCCGACAGTTTAGTTTTCATTCCCAAAGGGCTTAAATAACTCTACCCCTGAAATTTTTCATACATGTTTTTCCTTTGCTACTTCCACTCACTGTATACAGCTCCCCATGGCAGACGTCTTATAGCTTGGGCATTTCAATATCTTACCATCTCAAAATACAACACTGGCGTAATCTTCACAGCTTCATGCGATGACCTCTCACAGTCTCTTCACTGGGTTTCTGACTCTGCCAAACAGATGTATGTAGCAGTGCTCAACTGAAACAACAGAGGAAGAACCTATGACCTACCTGTACATTTTACATCTGTCTTGTTTCCAGAACCAGTACGACATGAGTTACTCACCACAAATTAGGCTTCTGTGTTGGGATGGATGCTACCACACTTGGAAAATCTTTACAGAAGGTCCTCTGTGAAGTTGCTTCTTGGGATTAGGAATCAAGTTGCCTATTCCCTCCATAATTTAAAGGCTTAGATGGATGGAGTCTTGTACTTAGGGTACCTTCCTGGGTCTCAAATGCTGAGAAGGGCCTTCTCTTTAATGGTCCTAAACTTCAAAATTCTCTGTCTCTGCTCTACCAAAGGACTACTATTTGAAACTACCTAGTCCTGTTTATCTCTTCAAAACAGACTTTTTATTTCTTTCTGCACCACTTGTTTCTTTTACACTGTAGACCTGATTGAATTATCAGTAATAAACACCCAAGAGAAGCAATACTTTGTCCAAGAAATCAGCCTATTATTTTTTAATTTTACCTTACTCAATTTCTTAGGGAATGGAGAAAATAAGAATGATATGGGGACAAAATAGTATTCAAATTACCTCTAGCTAAATTTTTAATGGAGTCCATTTCCCACTGAAATCCTATTCCCTGAAGTGCTACTGTGATCATTACTTTCAATACTCATATTCCTGGTCCTACAAGAAGAGCTGATTAAGTTCTATGTGCAACTTTTTATGCCTTTTGTCATGTAAAGTCCTAATATCTTTTTTTTAAAAGTCCTAATATCTTAAACACTACTCCAAAAGACAACATTCCCACATTCTATCCACCAACAAAATCACTTTTGGTGTACCAAATTTTGTTCTAACTTGCTTGTTTCTTGCTGTGATTAAATTGTCTAATGAAAAGCATCTCAAGTAATGAACAGGTTTATGTGGCTGATATTGCCAGATCATAACCCACAATTGTAGGTGCTAAGGATAGAATCTCAAGCTAGGAATTGAAGACAAAAACCACAGGGAAACTTTGTTTACTGGCTTTTTCTCTTGCTTGCTCACTGTCTTGTGCTCAGGTGGCTTTCTTATCCACCGTATGCCCACTTGTTTAGGGTATTGTAACCTCAGTGGAAGAGTCTTTGCACATCAATCATCAACTAACCATCAATCACCATCAATTAACACAGTTTCTCAAAAACACAGTAACCAGCAATTCTGATCTGGGCATAGCCTCAATTTATGTTCCCTCAGATGTTTAACCATATCAACCCCTTAAACTGAAAAAAAAAAAAACCCACAAATATGAAGATAATAACAACAGGAAAACACAGATATACCAAGAAATAAGGAGAAGTGAGCCTCCAAGATCAAGAAAACTAAATCTGTCTCTCCACAGAAACTTCCCAAACCAACAAAAGCTCAAGGAACTCAAAGCATAATATAGTAAATTTTCTGAAAAATAAAATGGTGAAGTTCCATCATTTTCCAGACAAACAACAGTAAGTTTAGATGACAAGTAATAGACTCAACAACATAGATGGTACCAATGACCAAACAAGACAAAAAGACTTACCTACAAATATATATCATGATCCCATAAACAAGAACTACAAGATTCTAATCAAAATTTAACCACGAGAAATCACTGGCCAGTACTCGTCCTGTGCACTCTTGTACTCTCCTGTGCTAATAATAGAAAATGGATTGTGTGAGCATGGCTGTTCTAACAGAATTGGACAGATGCACTTGAAGTCTTCTGATGTTTTAACTTTGTAGAAAACAGACTTGGTTACTAAAAGGATCTCATTCTCTTATGACAAGGTAAAGGATATTTGTTATGATCATTTAGGAATCCTTTTGTTTCCTATAACTGATGATTGCCTATAAGTCTACATCAGGCAAGGAACTGAAAACTTGTCTAAACCAAATAAAAAATAGCAGATTTTTAAAGAAACAGTGGTGTATGATTTGTATTATACACCTAAAGCATCTTGTTTTGCCTAATTGCTTTATGAGTCACAAGAACTTAAAGAAAAAAGTTTATCCTCACATTTTGTATATGTTTATGTATGAGAGAGAATGTGTTCCATATGTATAAAAGTGACATACAAGAAAAAAGGGGGTCAGATCTCTTGGATCTGGAGTAGCAGGTGGTTATGTGCCTCTCCGACTTGGATACTGAGATAAACTCAGGTCATCCCAAAGAAGAATACGTTCTTCTTAGAACTTCTTAGAACTTTTGATCTAATAAACTAAAAGTTTTTTACAGATTAACAATAACAACAACAACAACAACAAAACCTAAATAAACAAAGAAGTAAATAAATGATCCATGGTGCATCAATATTAAGATGTTGTATATGGTAAATCTGCAGCATGAATTGAATACAATCCCAAGAAAATTCCCAAGAATTTATAACAGGATACCCCATTCCAAAGCTACATACAAAGTAGAAACACTCAGAGTGTTCAATAGGATCATGAAAATATAATACATATATTGACACAATCTGACTTCTATATTTACCACAAAACTAAAGCAATCCAGAATATGTACAACATCTGTGAAAGGATAAAGGAAAAAGAATAAGCCAAGAACAAAATCAGGAAAATATAGTCAACTTTTAATCAAAGGACCAAAAACTGAGCTCTGGAAAGTGTGATCTTGATGAATGTTACTAAACTTTCTATAATTCTGTATATATAAATTAATGCAAACTTCCTAATTCCCACAAAATTAACTAAAGTGACCCTTAAACAGTTATGTTTCTGACTTTCCAGCTCTTGAGTGAGGTAACTCAGACTCAGAAAGAAAAACATGGTATATACTCATTCATAAGTGAATACTAGATGTAAAGGAAAGGACAATCAGACTACAACCCACAGCTCCAGAGAAGCTAGGAAATAAGGAGGGATGTACAGATCATCTTTGGGAGGGGGAAACAGAGGGGATATCCATGAGTAAACTGGGGATGAGGAAGGGCAATAAAGGGGAGGTGATGGGGGATGAGAACATGAGGAAACAGGATGGTTGAGCTGGGGGAGGGATGGAGTGGGAGAGCAATGAGAGAGATATCTTGATAGAGGGAGACATTATGCGGCATGGAAGAAATCTGGTACTAGAGAAATTCCCAGGAATCCACAAGGACAATCACAGATTATACTACTAGCAATAGTGGTGAGGATGTCTGAATTGGCTTACCCTGATAATCAGATTGGTAAATACCCTAAATGCCATCATAGAGCCTTCATCCATTAACTGATGGAAGCAGATGCAGAGATCTACGACCAAGTACCAGGCTGAGTTCTGGGAATATAGTCAAAGAGAGAAGAGGGAGTCTATAAACAAGGGGGGTCAAAATCTCATGAGGTGGGAAATCTACAGAGAAAACTGAACAAAGCTCATAAGAACTCGTTAACTTTAGATGAACAGCTGTGGAACCTGAGTGGGACCAGACTAGACCCTCTGCATACAGGGGACAGTTGTGTAGCTGGGTCTGTTTGTGGGGCCCCTGGCAGTGTGATCAGGATCTATCCTTGGTGCATGCGCTGGCTTTCTAGATCCTATAACCTATGGTCTGACACCTTGCTCAGCCTTGATGCAGGGGAGGGGCTTGATCCTGCCTCAGCTGAATGTACAAGACTTTGTTGTCCCCCCATGGGAGAACTTATCTTTTTGGAGGAGAGGATGAGGGGTGGGTCAGGGGTAGGATTGGGCAGGGGAGAAGGGAGTGGGAGGACAGGTGAGAGGGGGATCTGTGGTTGGTATGTAAAATGAATAAAAAAAATTAATAAAAAAAGACAATATAGACTTCACAATTTCCATAAAATTAACTCAAAATAACTCTTAAAAAATTATGTTTTTGACCCTGCCACTAATGATCTTTCTCCCAAACAGAGAGGCCAATATTGTGGAATATTATTTTAATGTGTTATATTTGTTTATGCTGTGGAACATTTGTTTAATGATGCAAAAATAATACATTGCATTCTTTTATGTTGCATTTGTTTAACTTGTGTGAAGCTATGTTACTTTGCCTGTCTAAATTATCTGATGGTCTAAAAAAGATCTGAATGTCCAATAGCTAGGCAAGAAAAAGTATAGGCAGGTTTGGCAGGCAGAGAGAGTAAATAGCAAGAGAGAAAAAGAGCAAGATCTGGGAGCAAGAAAAGAAGTTGGCAGCTACCCGGCCATACAGCCAGCCATGGAGTAAGAGTGAAAATAAGATGTAAGAGAAGGAAAAAGCCCAGAGGCAAAAGGTAGATGGGATGATTTAAGTGAAGAGAAGCTGGCTAGAAACAGGCCTGGATAAGGCTAGGCACTCATAAGTAATAATAAGCCTCTCTGTTTGATTTATGTGGAAGTTGGGTGGTGAACGCTCAAAAGGACCAAAACAGCAAAGAATAAAAACAACCAACAGGCCCCATTCTATAGAGCTCTCTTCGCAAAGGGAGGTAATCTTCTTCTATAGAGAATTCTGTGAAGAAAGGGAGTGCAGGGAGGTGACCCTGGCCCACCACCCAAGGCACAACATGCCAGCAGACCAGTAATGCCATGACTATGTGGCAATACATAAATTAATAAAAATGGGTTAATTTAAGATTAAAGAGCTAGCTGGGAAGAAGCCTGAGCCATAGATAAAACAGTTTGCAATTAATATTAAGCCTCTGCATGATTATTTTATGAAACAGCTGCTTCCCTGGGCAGGACCGGGCAGGACTGAGAAACTTAAGTCTACAACTGGCACCATATGTGTGACATTGATGTACATAGACCAGAAAAAGCTTAAAAATATTCTGAATGCACATAAATGGAGCCACACTGGGATTCTTAGTCTCACAGTCTCTTGCTATCAGCAGCACTGAGACACATCTCCTGAGAGCTACCTGTAAGATGGAGTCAGTCACCATGAGCTAAGTGGCATGATGAACATCTGCAGTCTCTCCCATAGGCCATGGTACAGAGAGGCTTCTCCCAGCCACTGCCTGCAGGCTTGAGAGCACAGCTGCAGACTTAAGAACACAGTTCCATGATGCT